TTTAGATTCGTTAGTAGTAGTTGTGTAATGAACAGCTTGCCTGCTAATATGCTAACCTAGCTTTGTTTACCTTGGTAGCTAACACGATATGAACGTTAGCTTGGAGGAAAGGCAACTATAATGCAGTGTAATAAAACTACTATGAACAAAAGCTAGTGGTTCATATTAGGCTAGCAATAACGTGTTTATAATTGCAATCGTATACGGGTATTCTGCTACCATACAATGTAACTTGCATGAATACATTGTTTTGCGCTAGCATACAGCTAGCCTCGTTAGCTACATGCAGTATATGTACGGTCACAATGTACGGTAAACCGGAGTATACTGTATGAGTATTCCGTGTGTGTGACTGCAGACATTCTCCTGCCATGACAAACATGTAAGGCCATCTGCTGACATTGTAGTTGATATATTTAAACGCTAGCAACGTAGCATCACAAAAATGTTTTTCTGACCAAAACTAGCTCAAGCTCCGTGTGTTAGATCGCTACGCCAGCTATAATGTAATTACGTTTCGCGACTGACCGGCAAATCACCCGCAGTATACTGTCAATAGGTATTTTGTGTGTGAATGCAGACATTCTCCTGCTATGAGATACATGTATGCAAGGCCATCTGCTGATATTAGAGTTGATATATGGAAACTCTAGCAACTTAGTTAGCACAGTTAGCACTGTGTCAATGGCTTAGCAGTCCAACACAGTTTACACATTTAAACAGTCTTGTTTGATAAATACACAAATAACAATGCAAACTTACAGGTTGTATACCCAGATCTTCCCCTGCTCCAAACGGTCCAAACAAGCTGTGCATATCCGGCCTCAAACTGGGCAATGTTTTGGAAGCTTTCGTCTGTGAAATGCCGGTTCTTCGAACCTCTGGAGGAGGAACACGCCGCTGCTGGTGTGGCCATAGCTCTTCGGGATTGGTCCATTTCGTTCCGGGTACCGCATGACATCAGGCGGTACCCGGAACTAAATGGAAGACTCAAATGGGCAGTGACGTATCTCCAACGAGGCGTTTTGGGGAGGTATTTTCTGTGTTAGAGTTTTACTCGCTACAGGGTGTACTTTGAGGGTTTTGACTCTGCACACCGTTTACATGCATAAAAACCTTCATAACACACAAGGGGACGGGTAATAACCGGAAAAGCATGACATGGGAGCTTTAAGGCTTAGCAGTACAGATAAATGTGGGCTCACTTTTTGGCAAGCAACCGGTCACAGGTGCCCTGTTTATCTCACGTCTTATAAAAGCTTATTAAGGATTTATTAAGTGTTCACAACCTAATTAATAAATGAATTACAAACTATTCGTAAACCCTTTATAAGGGTAGTCTTATTGTAAAGTGGTAACAAAAAAGCAATACAGAAATACAAATAATTTATACAATCCCTAACATCTTTATCTGAATTTACAACAATATCGAACATTACTACTATTGATATTTGCAAATTCTCTCTACTAGATCAGCTTTGAAGTGCCATTTGTTCTTTGGTATAAGGTTTTCATTTATGTGAAAATCAAGAACTTGGTATGCTTATCCAGGAACAAATGAGCATTACATTTCTTATACATGTTATTTTCAGAAAATAAGACAAGTCTTTTGAGTAAAAAACGATCCTTGCTTCATTTTTACTTAAAGGTCACCTATCATGCTATTTGTAGGCAATAGCATAGGTCTCAGATATATAAACATATATAAAAAACAGGTCTATGAAGTGTTTTGCTCAAAACACCAAACAGATCCCCCATTCTAGCCATGCCTCATATCCCTCTATTTCACTTCCTGTTTCAAAAGTGCTGATTTTGGGTATAAAGCTTTAAAAAGGAGGGGTCTGAGCTCATGCGGGACCCGGCAGCTACTGTCTAAACTAAATACTGCCGTGATGAAACGCCATATCATGGATTATCAAGGATTGTTTCTGAAACAGTATGGAGCTCAAAGGCTTTCTCTCTTGCCGGTTATACCACAAGGTGAGTTCCTTTTTATTTCCTGCTTCTTCACACACATGCTCTCCAGTACAGGTTAGCTCTGAGTGTTAGCGATGCTAATGTAAACACCGACCATATTACGTCCAAAACAGTCGGGCATTGTTTCTGATAGCAACGTTTCTGATAGGGCCGTGGGTCCACATTTCAGATATTACGTCATATCGGACGCAAATCTGGATCAGCTCCGTTGTAGCCCCGTTTTTAGAGATTTGGGTACGGAGGAAAAGAGAGAGGGTTTTATTTTCTGACGCTGCGTGAGTTCCCCGACACACCGGGGACACATCTTTATGTATAAAAGACATCAATTTTGCATGATAGGTCCCCTTTAAGTTAAAATGTAAGATCGGTTTCTTTGACCCAAATGCCACACAATTGTTAATGCAGGTGACCCTCCAAAATAAAATGTTAAAGCCATGCAGGCAGTCACTTCAGACAGGAATATATGGATTATTCTGACTGGCTTTCCACTAAATAGGTCAATAACACTTTCTTTATCAGTCAGACCTGAGACTTTATATCTCTATCAGCTTTCTCTCTTTTCTTCCATCCTAATTAAATACATAGCACTTTCTTTTTGCCAATATTATGGACCTTTACATCTGATGAATGTATTTTGTAAGAGCAGTGTTTGTGTCATTAGTCCTTATAATGATCTCAACATATCTGATTTGTTTTAAGTTCAATCTTACAAAGAGAAACCTTAGCTTGGGAGAGTTAAAGATCCAGACTTCAGATACTGTTATTCCTTCAGTAGTGTAAGCTTTTAAAGACCGTGATAGATCCATCTCAGAGTGGAGGAGGAAACAGAGGGAGGGGCTCTTTCTAAATCATCTCATTGGCTAATGTAACAGGCGGAGGGGGGAGAGGGGGGAGAGCATGGCTCCTGGGTTTACTGTATAAAACCTGCTGAGTCACTTTGCTGCATTGGAGCTCCGACCACAGCCAATCAGATTCATCCTCGGAGGTCAAAGACAGACTCTGCAGAGGGTCTAACAGATTCTAGTTTTCCCTTTCATCATGTTATCAGGATGTCCAAGAAAGAGTCCAAGATCAAGTTTGTATTTTCACAACATCTGCAATGACCCAATACATCTTGAAATGTGTGTTTTCAGCTCCATTTGAGGTGTTTTGTTATTGAAAGACTTCTGTGGAAGAGATATGTGGAGGAAGGGTTTGACAGCTTGATACGAGTAAAATAGAAAGCAGTGATGGTATTTTACATCAAAATATAGAAAAACATAAAGCTCCACAACACATGTCAATAGTGTACTGTCTTCGGTTAATCTGGTGATATTCTAAAATGTTCTTACTGTCAACAAATTGTAACCAACAGCAGATCGATGCAAATCGATGCAATGTACAAAATTGTACATTTAGCCCAGCTTTACTTAAAGGGGACCTATCATGCAAAATGCACTTGTGTACGTCTTTTCTACATGAATATGTGTCCCCGGTGTTCCAGGGAACTCACCAAGTGTCAGAAAACACAACCCTCTCTATTTTCCTCCATACCCAAATCTCTAAAAAAGGGGCTGCAACGGATCTGATAAAAACTGATCCAGATTTGAACACTGTCCTGACGTCAGGACAGTGGCGCTACGGCTATTGGGCCAACTCCACCAATCAGGAGGAGACAGCCACGGCCATTGCCGTTCGAAAGCGCTGGAGACGCTGTAGTACAGGGGTACTCAAACTTTTTTATTAAAGGTCCACTTGTGAACTTTATACAAGGTCACTGGTCCGGATCAATGCCAGTAAAGTCACCCCCATTTTTTTATAATGGGACACAGGGTTCGGTCCGGAGTTTGAGAAGCCCTGCTGTAGTACATATGCCAGGCCTGTAGATGGTGCTGTTCTCACTGAATCTGCCCAGAGCTAGAAATTGTCAAATTGAGCAAAATGAGGCATGGCTAAAATGCATGATCTGTTTGGTATTTTGAAAAAAAAAAGTATAAATATGCCTTATATAGGTATGGTCCTACATTATATTATTCAAATATAGCATGATAGGTCCACTTTAAAGGTAGGGTAGGTAAGAATGGAGAAACCAGCTCGAGTGCGCTAGAATTTGAAAATACACAACCGAAAAGAATCTGCCACTTCCTTCAGACTTCCTTACAGAGCCCCTCCTCCAACACACACGAACGCGCACATGACCAATGAGGGCACGAGATAAGTTTGTGCACAGATGGAAGGCTGACAGGCAGGTAGGCCATCCAGTTATTTTAGCCGGGCCGGCTCAGATGATTGGTCGTGCTTTTTACAGCGCCACGGCTTCCACAGATGAAATTTTGTTATGTATTTATTGTCAAAGCATTTAATGTATTCTTTGCTATCGGGATGTTAAGAGCATTCCATGGAATATAACAAAAAGTGTTTCTGAAGTGAATTACCTACCCCACCTTTAAGTATGTCCATGTTATGTTACTTTAAACTTATTTAATGCATTGATCTGACAGCTGTAGATGATATTGGTGACCAGTGACAACATGCTGCTTAAATGTAAACATACATTTTTGTGTTTTTAATAATCTTTTGACGTCAGTGAGCATCATTTTCTTCCTATGAACACACACTACTACTACTACTGCTGGAAATACACCATGAAGCACCAAAGGTATATGAACTTCCTGTTGAAAATAGTTTCAGCAAATGCATCTTTACTCCGGTTTAAGGAACATTTGCCTAAACCACACCTTCCAACTGTTTTAAGCAAATATTCAACGTTTTTGAAAATGAAATATGAGATACTCGAGACATTTGTTGAAGAAAGATTTACGTCTTCAGTAGGGACCAATTATGTTGCCTATATACTACTGGTTTTGGTATTCTCATGTGTTTTGAATGACAACAAATGAAGAAAATTGCCAGAATTTGACTTAAATGGTCAAAATAAAGCTGGTTACAAACATTGCTGATGCAAGGCGAACATCCCTTATTTTGTATGAGTTTGAGCGACATCGTGTTTCTTCGTGAGGTAAAAAACAGACAGAAAGCAAAGACTTGTTTCCTATGGTTCATAATTTATTCCAGTGTGAGTGCACATACTGCTGTGTGCCATTACAAACAACACGAGGTATAAGGAAGTGTGTTACTGTGGCTCTGAGGTCATAACAACAACAACATCTGTAACACGGTGAGAGCTCTGCAGGGCGGAGAGAAACAACACGGACGAAGAGTTTGTTCACTGATGGCACAAAGTCGAGTTTTGGACTTTACAAATGAACCGTTGTGGTCGTCTGTGTAGCTGCACAGGTGTGACAAGGCAAACATAACAACATGAGGCACATGCATGAACTGTTAAATTACTTTTAACCTGGTCACATGACAGAGGCATTATCCGATGAAATCAAAACGTACTTACTTCCTAATATATATTTTAAAAGCTCATCTGGGAGTTACGTGAATCTAGTGTTGCTAAAAATACATTTTGATGCCAATTTCTTATCACAAACCGTTACAAGGTGGCGCAACACAACAGGAAATGGGACAAAATAGTGGTATTATAGGGATTCATAAATATGTGCTGCATGTCGTGTGTGTTTCTTAAGTTATATAAAATATTGCAGGGATCATATTAACTCTGTTTTGTAATTTATATAGCATTTTTATCATATATCTTTGTGTGTGAGCTTGTATTGTCATCTCATCGTACTGTCATGTCCTTTATGTGCCTGAACTAAATATTTAAAAACACTTCTGCATGATGATTCAATGTGCTTCACGAAACAATAGGACGTCTCACATCTATTTACATTAATTTGATCGACACTACGGATACGTTATGAAATCCATTGAAGTGCTATCAGTGACAGAGGAAGCATTGTGTGACGTGAAATGACTCGGACACTCTAAAGATTGAGGGACAGTGAGACCTGTGCGTTCAAGTGTTTCCCTAAAATCATTGCACTTCATTGCACTAATCATCCTCAACCTCTGATTGGTTACACTCCCTCCCTCGGCAGGTGAACCAATCAGAGGTTGGAGAGCCTTCATTGGACCTTGGTGACGGCGTCGTGGATGGACTGGGCCACGTAGTCGATGTTGCTGCTGGTCAGACCGCACATGTTGATGCGGCCGCTCGCCATCAGGTACACGTGCCTCTCTTTGATCATGAACTCCACCTGTTTGGCTGTAAACACACACCACAACACAGAGAGGGTCACACAGAGTGCAGAGCAAGAGCCCATGCTGCATGCAAAGAATCACTGACAAGATTTTTTTATTGTTATGCAACCACTAAAAAAGGTGGATCAGAAATCAAATGCTTTAAATGTGATGTGTGCTGTAAACAAATTGTTTACTTAAGCTTTTTAAACTGGCTCTAGAAATCATGTACACAACTATACGTGTGATGCTACTATGCGTGCTGAATGTTCGCAGACTTTTGCATTGGTTGGGTTTTTTTTGTAAATCCTTCATTAATAGCCGCTTTCACACCAAGCACTTTGCCGTACTTAGTACCCAGCACTTAGTACCCAGCACTTAGTTCCCAGCACTTAGTTCCCAGCACTTAGTTCCCAGCACTTAGTTCCCAGCACTTAGTTCCCAGCACTTAGTTCCCAGCACTTAGTACCCCCATGGAACTAAAGAGCAGATCGCATTCACACCGGAATAAGTTCCCTGAGGGAAGATTACGCAAATGAGCCGCTGACGTCACTTCTTCTTCTTCTGCTTTGGGTTTACTGGCAGGCAACTTCACGGCGTATACTGCCACCCGAAGTCCCCGGCCGGAAGTCCCCGGAGTTGTGGACTGTGTGTGTGTGTGTGTGTGTGTGTGTGTGTGTGTGTGTGTGTGTGTCCCAGCAGCTTCTACTGAAGCCTTCAGAGTAAATCGCCAGAACGCCGACACCTCCTCATCTCCACCGCTCCCATGTTTTCTTTTGTGTTGCCATAAGTTAGTCTCTCCCCGTTGGTGCGCGGGGCTAATGCTAATAATGCTAATGCCAGCAAATACAATGGCGGCTTCACAAAACTTTTCAGAGTTTTACGGGGCGTGGTTTGCAATTCGCCCAGCCAATCAGAAATTGGAACGTTTTTCTCCCCAGGAAAGTACCACCTCTCTAGCAGGTAGTAAAAATGGGGTAAAAGTTCTCATGAACCAAGTTCTCTTTTTGGTGTGAACGCAAAATCCCAGGAACTATCGGAACTAAACGGGAAAAGTACTCCGGTGTGAAAACACCTAATGTGCTATTTCCTTAAAGTCAAGGAATTGTCCCACAATATTTTACAGATGTTGGTCCCCAATGTGAGAACAGAACTAGGCAACAAAGACTTTAAATGCTGCCCCTTCTTTCTGGAGCAAAGTGAAATTGTCAGAGCAGATTAATATAATATATTAAGTCCAATTATATAGGATATAAAAAAAATAGCACATGTTATGGCTTTTGATCTCTTACTGAATTCATTTTTCTTTTTTTTCTTTTATAAAATCGTACCCGTTTTATGTAATCATTGTTTTTAATATTGCATCTCAACTGGATGTGGTGCCGTTATTGTTGTAAAATGTCCACGCTACCCACTTGGCCACTTTTGTAATGTAACTTTTACCTGGTTAAAAAAAAGGGTATTTATATACGAGACGTGCAATTAAAAAACACGTCTGATAATTGTTTATTCTTTAATTTACCAAAGTGTCTTAGTTTATTATTCTACATGAAGACAACTGTCTAGCTAGACCCTGCCTTGGTAGTGACACTTTCCTTTGGCAGATGACTTCTGAACATAGTTTCTTTATTCACTAAACAACCCTGATGTTTCCAGGTTCGAGTATGTGTGTGTGTGTGTGCGTGTGTGCGTATGTGTGTGTGTGTGTGTCCCACTCACGGTTGAGCCCTGTGAAGCTGAACATCCCGATCTGCTGGGTGATGTGCTCCCAGGTCCCCGGGGTGTTCAGAGCCTGCAGCTTCCCCTTCAGCTGATCCCTCATCAGCAGCACGCGGTCCGCCATCGTCTTCACGTTACCCTTCCTGCAGGGAGATGTGTGTCAACGCACAGGAAAGTAATTGCCAACTATTTTAATATTCTAATCCTAGTTTAGTTAGTTTTCATGCAAAAACAGCAGAAAATGGTGTTTTCAGCCTCTCAAATATGCCTGCTTTTATTATTTTATCTTAAAGGGGACCTATCATGCAAAATGCACTTTTGTACGTCTTTTATACATGAATATGTGTCCCCGGTGTTCCAGGGAACTCACCAAGTGTCAGAAAACACAACCCTCTCTATTTTCCTCCATACCCAAATCTCTAAAAAAGGGGCTGCAACGGATCTGATACAAACTGATCCAGATTTGAACACTGTCCTGACGTCAGGACGGTGGCGCTACGGCTATTGGGCCAACTCCACCAATCAGGAGGAGACAGCCACGGCCATTGCCGTTCAAAAGAGCTGGAGACGCTGTAGTACATATGCCAGGCCTGTAGGTGGTGCTGTTCTCACTGAATCTGCCCTTGCAAAAACTGAGCTAAAAATTGTCAAATTGAGCAAAATGAGGCATGGCTAAAATGCATGATCTGTTTGGTATTTTGAAAAAAAAAAAAAGTATAAATATGCCTTATATAGGTATGGTCCTACACTATATTATTCAAATATAGCATGATAGGTCCACTTTAATATTCCCTGCTTTTCTTTGTTTTATACATATCCAAAACCCAAAGATCTCTGATGCATCTCTCTTATATTAGTCCATGCATACAGCCTACCACGCTAACACTTGGCAGTAGATGCCACTCACATGTTTTAAATATTGGGTAAATATCAGCTCCCATGTGTTTAAGATCTCTCTCATGCTAAAGCGTCTTGTTTGGAGCGTACCATTCAGCGAAGAGCTCGGGGCAGTTCAGGGTCTTGCTGACGATGCGCGCTCCCTGAGACGGGGGGTTGGACCAGGTGGTCCTCACGATCTTCTCCATCTGGGACAGGATGCGGGTCAGGTTCTCTCCGTCCTGAGCCACGATGGTGAGGTTTCCAACTCTCTCATCTGTAAAGGTGACAAGAGTATTTACAATGACTTCACTTAGGGCAGAGCTCCTTTAGGTGAGGAAGAGGCTTCCTTCATTAGACCGAGCCGACAGTATGAAGCTACGTCAGTGACGTGCTTCTGTATTTCAAGGTGAGCTAAAGTGGTGAGAAGATGTATAAAAGTAGTGACACTGAAAAAGACTGACAGATGGATCAGTAATGCAAAATAAGATTATTACTTTAATTAAGTTCTACATGTTAAAGGCACAGTCGTGTAAAACGGTACTTCACCTGTTTGTTAATATGGATATAATTAGTGTAACCACTGATAAAAAGTTGTGTATTTGTGCAAAATATCAGTCAGTGTGTTTTGCGGTTTATAATGTGAGCAGACACTTGATATTTTATGTTTAATGCAAGTTTAGGAGTACTAATGTATGTTAAAACATTCATTTTAGTTATTGAAGGTTTTAAACATACAGGTAGCATCACAAGAACAATTGGAGATGTGTGAAATGGGACACCTTGATAAGCTATATGAAGCTCTAGAAAAGGGTCCCAGACTATGAATTTATTTTAAACTTATACAATCCTTGAAGTCCCTTTTGTTTTAAAGTTTGCAACACATGTTTTGATTTAATTGAATATATAAATATGTCATTGTTTCTACGTGTGTATGATGTGCACTCACTGTAAAGGCCGAAGTTCTTGGAGAAGGACTGAGCCACGAACAGCTCGAAGCCCTCTGAGACGAAGTAGCGGATCGCCCAGGCGTCTTTATCCAGAGAGCCGGAGGCGAAGCCCTGATAGGCCGAGTCGAAGAACACGAACAGATTCCTCCTCTGGAGAGCGAGAAGAAGATGCATGAGTAAAAAGATGAGGAAACGGCACTAAAACATGGCTTGGAGGAAAAGCAAGGAAAGAAAGTAAGTATGGAGAAAATGTCAAAAAAGTAAGATCCCATTCAAAATAAAATAAAACACAGTTTGGAGTTTAAATACAAAATTCAGTTCATTGTTAAATAATAGACGTCACCATTGAACTTCCTTAGTTTATTACTCGCATTTTTAGTTGTAACAAGTCCTATGAAATGTTATATTTGAATATGCAAATGAGGCATTATCTCAAGCAATCTTTTGGTGAATTTAGGAGAAGTCTACACACACATATTAAAATAAACGTGCTAATATGTAAACTGTATGTTTTTTATGTCCACTAGTCTAAAAAGAAGAGCTGTTATGGCAGTAATAGTCCAAATTCTCCAAATTGACCATAAATGGTAGTGTCTCGCGTTAATGGGGATGCCTGAAACAGTGACATCATGTGACACACACCTCAACGTGTGATCTGATAAACTCCAGGAACAGCTGATGTTACCTTCATGATCTCTGCGATCTTCTTCCACTCCTCTTGGGTGGGGTCGGTGCCGGTGGGGTTGTGAGCGCAGGCGTGGAGGACGAAGATGGAGTGCTCCGGAGCTTTCTGTTGAGAAAAGATAAGATTTACTTCATTGATGCCTAATTAGGAACGCTTTCTTTACAGCAGCAGGTTCAAACGAGGCGTTGTGATTAGGGCTGGACGATTAATCAATTTTAAATCGAAATCGCGATTTGAAATGATGCAATTATCAAATCGCAAAGCCTGCGATTTTTATGTATTTTTACATTTTTAATTTTTTTTTTGTTCTTCTTGTGTGTCAGTCATCCACACCAATCAGAAGTGCTGTGCTCCACATGTACCAGTCATTGTTAACCAATCAGAAGTGGCCCATGATAGAAGGTGATAGACAGATTGATCCAATCACCTGTCAAGTATTTTTGAAAGTGCCTGCCCTTTCCAAATGGCTTCCAATGGAGCTTTCCTAGATTGTTCGGTGAAACAAACCACCTGAGTCAGGTTAGTAATGCTCCATCACATGTTTCTATTACAGGGTGAATCTTAAACTGAAGCTTGACTTTAAAGCAACCTAACGGAAGTTTCATGTAAGTTTAGTTTTTTCACTCGTAGCTCGGGCTGCGGGGGTGCTAGAGACGGGAGCACGTTGATACGACCTTCCTAGCCGGAGATATGGCCGCATTTTACAATAAACTTCCGTTGGGTCGCTTAAAAACAAATATCGCAAATAGAATCGCAATATTTGTCAGAAAAATCGCAATTAGATTATTTCCCCAAATCGTGCAGCCCTAGTTGTGATTATACAAAAAAGCAGAAAAACATAAGATATAACCATCTCAAAAAATAAAATAACACAGAACTAAAAAGTTAAGAGAGGAAGAGTTCGCTCAAAATAAATAGACACGCTGAATTCCTGAAACCTCAATGTGGTTTTTAAGAAAACGATTTGGCCTGAAATAGGTTAATGTCATTCATTGTAAGGTGTTATATTATATCATCTGAATCCAAGGAACATTTTGAAATTAACAGCCAAGAAATAACCAAATATGGTAGATTTTGCATCTGATAAGTAAATCGTGAGAGATATCCACCACAAAGGCAGGTGATTTGTAGATTAATATAGTCTTGAAGTCAAAATGTTAATTTTAGACACTGGTTGATGAGTAATTCTACTTCTTATGAGTATTTTTGGAGATGTTTAAAGCTGTGAATCATGTGACAACACTGTGATGAGAGATTAGAAACAACTAAAGTCACAAGACGAAGTGATAACAGGGGGTTCATTTACACGTCACGCTGATTTACTGATGATTGTTTCACGGAAATCTCATTGTGTTTTGTCAAAAATGTTGTGATATCGCCCAGCCCTAAAACCAAATGTCCAGGTTTTATGAGATGTCCTGTCACCTAACTTCTTCTCCAGTCATCTCGATATGAAAATGCTAACACCTAGCAGTAATTTACTTATTAAAGTCGCCCCTCCTCACCTCCAGGTCGTCCAGGAGCCCAGCGAGATCCAGACCTCTATTAGCAGCATCCCAGTAATGGTATGGCCGGATGTCTTTGAACCCAGCATCAGCAAACACACTGTTGTGGTTCTCTGGGAGGAGGAACAACACACAGCAGATCATTAAAACCTTAAATAAACTTTTGATCCAACTGTGACCCTTAATTTTACAGAAAGATTCACAGAGAACGTAGCAATAAGGTGGCAAAACTACTCGGAAGGTTTTATGGAATTTAAAAAAGTCCTTTTCAATATAAAGTAGTGCAGTGAAGACGCATTTTTGAAGACTGACCCTGAATTTAGTATCGCAAGGGTTAAGTGATGGGATTTTTAAATCCACAATAATGTGTGATTATTGCACAAAATCTCTGTAGCAAACATACATGATATTTACATGTATTTTTCATCAGGATAATCTCCAGATATTAACACCTTTTTAACTAGGCTATAAAGGAACTACAGCACGGTCACATGACTTCACGTCACCACCGCTAAGCTAAAGGTGGCTAATGTTGGGCTATAAAGGAACTACAGCACGGTCACATGACTTCACGTCACCACCGCTAAGCTAAAGGAGGCTAATGTTGGGCTATAAAGGAACTACAGCACGGTCACATGACTTCACGTCACCACCGCTAAGCTAAAGGTGGCTAATGTTGGGCTATAAAGGAACTACAGCACGGTCCACATGACTTCACGTCACCACCGCTAAGCTAAAGGTGGCTAATGTTGGGCTATAAAGCAACTACAGCACGGTCACATGACTTCACGTCACCACCGCTAAGCTAAAGGTGGCTAATGTTGGGCGTGATGAAGTTTAGTCGTCTCATTTAGACACTTGTTAGCAACCTCTGTTTCTAAATCCACCAGCTTGGTATTTACTGAAGTATTTTATGTCGTAGAACAAAACGTTAAAATACCTTATATCAGGCAAACAACCAAAAACACTTTCGGAAAACATTCACTTCCACACAAGGGAACAGGAAGTGGTCAAATGCTGACTCATATCTGGGTTTAGGACTCTTTCAATCTCAATCTCAATCTTTATTTATTTATATAGCACATTTAAAAACAACCTCAGTTGACCAAAGTGCTGTACAGGGAATAAATACAATATAAAATAACACAATGGGAGTAAAATAATAAAACACTTAACAAAAACATTATGAAAAGCACAATAACATATAAAAACACAAACAAATGTAACAATATTATCTACTTTCCTGCACCTCTCTATTACAGTAGGTGTTTCTTTAAGCCCGTGTCACACGGTGTGCGATGGTAGTTTACTAATGGCGCATTTCCATTGCAGCGCGTAGCTCGCTTTAAGCGTGCCGTGTCGTGCCGTCCCCTTTTTTGGTTGTGCTTCCACTAGGCCTCGTTCCGGCGCGGCACGGCGCGGGGCCACTTTTTCCCCTCTTTTCTGGCCCTAGAAAATTGTGGTTCTATCGGGGCCAACAAACAGGGCTGAGTCGGGCTGAGTATGCTAAACTAGAGAGAGGAGCGCTGGCAAGAGGGCTAGAACTACAACAAGATGGACATATTTGACCGTGATTTAATTGTAATACACGTTTCAAAATGATGCCGAAGTAACAACATACTGATACCGGTTAGTAAAAACCATGAATTAATGCTTTGTCAAGTCTGCAGACAGACGGCAGGCGAAAAACCTTTTAAAATTCGTGTTTTTCTAGATGGAGATTGGCTAAGCTAACGCAGTATATGCCCCGACCGTCCACACTCACAACAACGGCCTATACAGACATAAATAAAGCAGCGACTGTATTCACCATGACACAGGCAGTCTGTGGTTTGTACTTGTTTAACTTTTGTCGAGTTTCTGAACATATATAAGGAGCTGTGAGCTCTGAGTGCTCACAGCTAACGGCTGTGTTGTGTTGTGTTTCTGGATTTCTCATTGAAGATGACGTCACGGCTCCGCCTACACTGCGTTACTATAGTAACTACCCCAGTTCCTAAACTGTAATGGAAGCGCAGCATGAAGTGAGTCGGCCCTGTTAAGGCCCAACGCGGCCAAGCCGTACCGAGCCGTACCGAGTGTGGCCGAGGCCGACCGTGTAGTGGAAATGCGCCATTAGGCTGGCGTCACACTGTCCCGAAATTGACACCAGATGGACACACGAATATGGAATTGTGAATTTCGCACGAAGATGGCCCCGAACTTGGTCAACAGCCAAGCAACAGCCGAAGCAAGTACGATGCCTACAGAAGGCCACACTATGGCACCCGAACCACACACTCCGTCATGTTGTTTCCATAGCAACAACAACTTCCTGTCAACAGCGTAAACTCGCCTTAAAAAAAAAAGCATCTAAATAAAACAGGAAGTTAACCTAAATTACATTTAAGACATACAACTGCAACGAAAGTAACAAAAACAATGTAATATCCTTTTCAGTTTCACAGAACACAAATAGTACTATAATACGATGGCTACACGATGGCATTGCGAGGGCTTCACGTAGTCGTGTTGCCTTCCTAAGACAATCGGGCAGCTTCTTGTTTATATGGGCTCAGAACAGTCTCATAATACACACATGCACACAGAAGGATTCACACTTGTATTTCATGATCCGCAAAAGGAGTCACACTTGTATTTCCGGATCCACACTTGTGTTTTTCAATGCACACACAAATGTGTTCCGTTTCATATACATGTAAATAAAATCCAAATACAGAAAAAAGTTTTACATATGTATTTTTGATCCTCACATATTTGTTTTCCGTTTAAATCCCCTGAACCTGCAAACACAAACCGCTTTCTGTGCATGGATCGCTGTGCATTCGTGTGTGGGTTTTTTGAGACTCCCCTGACGGTCACCCGATTCGTACTTGTAATTTTTTCTATCTATAGCCAATCAGATGTCTCCTTCATTCTAAGCCAATCACATGAGCGCGTGCCCACGAGGGTATGATTTATTGCGTTCATCATGACACTTCATATACGCATTTTGCGCTGTCCGGAGCAGGGTTTCCGCGGACAGAATTTATTTTACCGGACAAATTTGAAACTTACCGGTCATGTTTCAATAATAATAATAATAAGAAGAAGAAGCAGAGTTTCCGTTAGCAGGTAATTACCGGACTATGACCGGATATGGCTAATAACACGGGAGTAAGGATCATCTCTTTTTTCCTCTCTCCCTCCCTCTCTCCTGACAGCTCGTCAGTTTCTCATGCAGCTCGCTAAAACTTCACTCGCGTTTATGTCCATATCGATCAGATCCAGCTCTCCTGATCGGCCTTTATAGAGAGCACCGATCAAACTATTAAGAGTGAATATCGGCCGATAATGACCGGCGGGGCTCCCCCCGTTGACAGTTCACTGTCTAGCACTGGCTTCGTAGTGCACTGATCGATTAGGCTAAGCTAACCTGTAGCTGCTCCCTTCACACTCACAACAACTTCATACAGACATAAATAAAGCAGCTGTATTCGCCATACAGGAAACACACATTTAAAACAGTTTTGCCTGCCGTTTTTATGTACACAAGCATTCATTAATGGTTCGGAAAGTGGCACTGTAACTTAATGATATAAAGGCTTGTATTTGCGTGCATTTCCTGCTCGGAAAGTGGCAATGTACTGAGAGTGGAGGTGTTCTGAGATTAGCGCCTGCAGGCAGGCTCCATGGACCTGTCAGCTCCGGACAGCGCAAAATGCGTACATGAAGCGCTACGTCATGAACGCAAGAAATCTACCCTCGTGGGGGCGCGCTCATGTGATTGGCTTAGAATTGAGGAGACATCTGATTGGCTATAGATAGAAAAAATTACAAGTACGAATCGGGTGACCGTCAGGGGAGTCTCAAAAAACCCACACACGAATGCAGAGCGATCCATGCACAGAAAGCGGTTTGTGTTTGTAGGTGCAGCGGATTTAAATGGAAAACAAATATGTGAGGATCAAAAATACATATGTAAAACTTTTTTCTGTATTTGGATTTTATTTACATGTATATGAAACGGAACACATTTGTGTGTGCATTGAAAAACACAAGTGTGGATCCGGAAATACAAGTGTGAATCCTTATGTGTGCATGTGTGTATTATGAGACTGTTCTGAGCCCATATGTTTCCTTCGTATTCTCTTCGTGAGGCGAAAAATGCCCGATGGCACCGAAGATCACACGAAGTAAAGACGAAGATGACACGATTTGACAAGATGCCCTCACGATGGCCTTACGAAGGGCAAAATGGACACACGAATTCAACACGAAAATGAACCTTCGCAAGGTCCTTCGAAAAACTTTTGGCATGCCAAAGATTTTGCCACCGCTCACGAAGTTGCTGCCGGAGCCTGAGAAACTCCACCGGCGGTCATACGATGGCTTAAGATGCCCTCACGAATGGCCCGATGTTGTTACGATCAGAGCCGAATTTGAACATTTCCTTTATCGTGTGTCCATCTGGTGTCAATTTCGGGACAGTGTGACGTGGGCTTAAAAGATGGCGCCTTTTTTCCGCTTTATTTCAGTGTTTGTTTATTTTATTATATATGACTATATGTTGGATTGTTGGAGGTTAGAAGATTTTCATTGCCATGTCTACACTGTAGCTTTGTGCGTATGACAATAAAACCTTTGGACTTTTTTACCCCAGGTGGGCGCTGACACGTAGATGGGTGTGGCCGTGTTGTTGACACCGTTGTACCAGCGGCGCAGGAACTCGGCTCCGATCCTCAATGCTCCCGTGCCCCCCAGAGCCTGCACCCCCCCGACCTGAAGAGGAAACAGAGGAGAGAAAACAGGCTGACACACGGAGAAAACTGGGCAAAAATGTACTAAATAATAAAAACGGACTATTAAATAAGAATGCAGCCGTTTCCTGTATGAGATATTTCCTTTATCAATTTTTTTTTAATCTATAAGATGTCTAAAAGAACGACCCATTACATGTTATCAGAGTCCCTAATACAAAAACTGGTGTGTGTCTCACCCTGTTGTCCTTGATGGCGGCGCAGTCGTCTCCCAGGGCGACCTTGGAGGAGGCGGATCTGAACTCGGGCAGGCCGAGGATGGGCAGATACTCGTGGTTCAGACTGCTGTCCTCCACGATCAGCTTCTCCACCTTCTTCACCACCGGCAGCACCCACGGCAGGCACTCATCAGTACGGTACGCTGCAGGGACACAGAGCAGCATCTCATCAACAAGCTGATTGGCTAATGGTTACACAAGCCAACAAATCGTTATGACATCATAAAGTGGCCAAAATCTGATCAGCTCATTTTCAGACAGGTTTTTATATAAATGGATCAGGACAAAAAGAGAGAGAGTCTTTGTTCCTGAAACTTTCAGAGTCTCTTTCCACAGAGGGGACACATGTTGATGAAGAAGAGACGTGAAGAAGAGGGGACACATGTTGATGTAGAAGAGACATGAAGAAGAGGGGACACATGTTGATGTAGAAGAGACATGAAGAAGAGGGGACACATGTTGATGTAGAAGAGACATGAAGAAGAGGGGACACATGTTGATGTAGAAGAGACATGAAGAAGAGGGGACACATGCTGATGTAGAAGAGACATGAAGAAGAGGGGACACATGTTGATGTAGAAGAGACATGAAGAGAGGGGACACATGTTGATGTAGAAGAGACATGAAGAAGAGAGGACACATGTTGATGTAGAAGAGACATGAAGAAGAGGGGACACATGTTGATGTAGAAGAGACATGAAGAAGAGGGGACACATGTTGATGAAGAAGAGACATGAAGAAGAGGGGACACATGTTGATGTAGAAGAGACATGAAGAAGAGGGGACACATGTTGATGTAGAAGAGACATGAAGAAGAGGGACACATGTTGATGTAGAAGAGACATGAAGAAGAGGGGGACACATGTTGATGTAGAAGAGACATGAAGAAGAGGGGACACATGTTGATGAAGAAGAGACATGAAGAAGAGGGGACACATGGTGATGTAGAAGAGACATGAAGAAGAGGGGACACATGTTGATGTAGAAGAGACATGAAGAAGAGGGGACACATGTTGATGAAGAAGAGACATGGAGAAGAGGGGACACATGTTGATGTAGAAGAGACATGAAGAAGAGGGGACACATGTTGATGTAGAAGAGACATGAAGAAGAGGGGACACATGATGATGTAGAAGAGACATGAAGAAGAGGGGACACATGTTGATGTAGAAGAGACATGAAGAAGAGGGGACACATGTTGATGTAGAAGAGACATGGAGAAGAGGGGACACATGTTGATGTAGAAGAGACATGAAGAAGAGGGGACACATGTTGATGTAGAAGAGACATGAAGAAGAGGGGACACATGTTGATGTAGAAGAGACATGGAGAAGAGGGGACACATGTTGATGTAGAAGAGACATGAAGAAGAGGGGACACATGCTGATGTAGAAGAGACATGAAGAAGTGGATTTTGCATAATAGGTGACCTTTAACATTGGAGACAGGATGGCAGAAAATTAGACGTAGTGCATGATCAAAAACATGATGCATGTCCTGGTAACTTGCATTCTGTGGTAGTCGTGCAAAGACAAATGTATTTGCTTTATCTTTTCCATTAACCTGGAATGTTTGAGCATAAAAACTAAAGGTTTTCACGGTGTAACACTATGTAAATGCATGTGTATTTGTTGCCAGATAAACATCAGTAATGGTAAGTTTTCTTCAGTATCTAACTATTATCATTGCACCATTTGTGATTTGAACAGAGTGTGCAGCCTGACATGCTAAAAGCTGAAGACAGACACACAAAAGGAGAGTTAGGGAGTCTGTGTGTGAAAGAGAAAGACAAACAGTACTATTTGCTTCAATCTAATGTCATATACTCTCTGAAGGTCATGATATATTAATGAGTGTGCGTGCGTGCGTGCGTGCGTGCGTTCTGTATGAGGGCTTGTGCAGAGCGGTATCACATATCAGGCTGTAGAGGAACTATCAAAAGGTCAAACAAGAAGGCTGGTGTTGGATCAGTGGATCAGAATTTACTGCGGTGTGTTCAGGGTCAAAACGGCAGCTGACCGTGAAGACCAGAAACTCTAAAAACAGATGCATCTAAAAACCGAAAAACGCCCTTACTTCTCACAAAATAAAAGCCTAACGTATAATGTGTTGACACTAGCAGTTACCTTTAGTGGTTCTTGTGAATTGAACCACTCTATTATGTTCAGTTAAATCCCTTAAAAAGTATCTGAATCAACGAGGGTACCAACGTGCAGCTCTGGTCTAAGTCCATGGTGCGTCATCAGAGAAGATAAACTGAAATAACCCTCAGAGGGGAAGTCAGAAATACTGATTATCACATCTTGTATACTTTATTCCATCTGGAGTTGTGGTTGTTGTAATGTTAAGAAACAGCTGACATGTCTCTGTCCAGTGTCAGCTGGAGAATGGTGATATGAAAACAGCAATACAATGTCAAGAAAGAGATGACATTAAAGACCAAGACTTGTTTGATTATGGTTCTTTGCATACAAGTGATATCATACAAGCTAAAAACTAAGCAATAAAGACCACATTTGTCATATAAAACACACTTTGAAATGGACGCAAAGCATTTTTTTTTTAAATAATGTATTAAAAGTGCACATGCTTACAGTTGCAGGTTTTCAATAAGCCATGATTAGATTTGTCTTTGAATCTGCAAAAGGTAACTTATTCTATTCTTAACCGACTATTGCTTCATATGTTTTTTCCTCTAGTTTGGCATTAATTAAAGATGACAACAGCAACACCATCTGTACCAAAATGCAAGACATTTTAGCACAATGATAATTAGATAGCTTCAAAAATAGCAAGACTACCACCATCATTTCCCCGATAAATAATATGAACAAAACAAATACAGTTATGAATGAAGATAGCTTCTGCTTTAAAGTTCCACAATGAGTTATCTTAACGCTCCTGCAGATGATTAAAAAAGGACACAATGACACAAATCCTCATCTAGACATTGTGACTGGTGTAATGGATAATGATGCATTCAGGGACACAAGTAAAACAGCGGAAGTAAAAGTAAGCAAGACTTCACACCATAATAAAACAGGCTCAATTGGCGCAAGTATTTTTTGGTAAATGGTGAAAGAGCAGTCACATGACAAGGTTCCTCATCCTCAGAATGTCATTTGTTTCTTTTATTGTCAAACATGAAGCATTTGTGTTCATCTGACAGCTGTCAACGTGATGGTAATTTGTGCTTCAGGTCGTTAGCATCACTGCTAGCTTGTACCGAAGGTCAAATCAAAGAGTTGCTAATGTTTCGTAGCATTGTAACATAAGCAGTGCACCAAAAGGGGGACACCCGATACTCGATAGCCGAGGGAAGCTAACACGAAGAGCGGGAGGCAGCACACTTTAGTGGGCTAACTCACTGGTAGCAAGCTAACTTAGCATTAGACTTAGCATTAGCATTGCCATTCATTTTAGCACCAGCATTAGCATTGACTTTAGCTTACCTCCAACTCCCAGATTCACTTTCTGCGGGTGGCTGTCCTCTCTGAAATCAGCACTCAGTTTGAAAACAGCCACTGGAGGAGCCTGCGGGACTTCACTGAATAGAGACATGATTTAGGGGCGGAGGATGGAGCAGTAAGAGACGGGAGATAGTGCTTCAGGGCCGGGTTAAAACCTACAGTGTGTGTGGTTCACCTTCAGATCCACGGTTCAGGACAGACAGTGATATAGACGTCAACCCGCCAGCCAATAGGAAAGCACGTAATACTGACGTTGCCCTTTGCTAGCCAATGAGAGCACAGCATTGGATCCAATACTTTATTTATTTGTTTGTAATATATCATTTTGTTTTATTTTTATATATATAAATGTAGCCTATATACTTTTGTGAATCTACCTTTATGGACATTTTATTTTTAATTATTTGATATCTATTTAGATCTAATCGGTGTTTTTATTCTACATATTTTTTATATAACATATTATTTATATATTTTTTGTATGGTCAATATACTATATAGAGAGAGATTGCAGCAGTTACAAAAAAAGATCCATACAAACAACAAAACGACACTTAAAAATGAGGTAGATACACACTTCCAATAAAGATTTTTGAATAAATAAGTTAATGGGTTACGATGAAATATGTTATGCTTAATGCCGAATTTAAAGTACACTGTGCCTTTCACAATAAGCAATAAGATTTACCCTGTTTTGTAGATAAACTTGCATATAATTAAGTGGTAAGATGCAACCTATATTTGTTGAATTATATGTATATACATGCTGTTTTTGAGTATAATTATGAGTGATTACACATGTGTTTGCATACATGTATGTGTGTATTTTTAAGATTGATGGTGGTTTATTGTTGCATTTTCTTAAAAAAGAAAGTTTCAGCCTTGCACCAATGAAGAGATCACATATGAACATGTGTAAATATATCACAAATCTTCCTAAGAATATGTGTGCATGAATGTGTGAGAGAATATGATGAATAATATGATCGTAATTCAGTGGTCCCTTCTATCTCTCCTGTACTGTTATCTGAGTTTTATATAAACCCTGTGTGATAAGCACTAAGTGGTCCAGATAAAAGGAGTGTGTTATCCAAACCATCAGAGTGTGTATTGATGAATATCTAACAGCATGCAGAGAGTAACAGCAGAACCAGTGATCTGCCACCAGAGGGCAGAGTGACCCAGCAGGAGACTGTGTCACATCTGATAAAAACATCTTTATCAGGATGACTTTAGAAAAAGCTCAGTTCACCCTGATTTTACAGATTCACAAAAGTAATCCTTGCTAAATGTTAACAATTATTAAGTAGAGTGAAGGAAAGTAACAGTTTCAGGAACTTGCAATCATGCAGTCACACAATATTCCTTTTGTTCAGTCCCCAGACATTACCAGCAGTGGAGAAAAAACACGCAATATATTCACATACAGTCAATAAAGTAATAATAATTCATGATGTAGATACTCCCTTATATCAAATTACAATCGTAACAAGTTTCAACAGCCAAATAGACTTACATATAGCATTACAAATAAACAAACCTATTGAAAAAGATTGCCCTTTACAGAATGTTATACATTATAGGAGATTATTATTCTGGATTTGACTGTTTTAATGAAGTGTCTGGTATATTAGAGCTACTTTAGACATCTTCAAATACTACAGTTAAATGTATAACAAAAATAACTTGCAGTATGTGCTTTGAAAGAAAGACCTTTATCTGCAAAGTAACTGTAGCTCTCAAATACATGTAGTGGTTCGTTCCTATGTAACTAAAATATCTCTAATGCCATTAGTAACTTGTGCGTACACAAAACATGCATTTCTGCACCAGTAGTGCAAGAAGTACTCAGATATTTTGAAGTATAAGTATCAAAGAGTGGAAAAATACTCTATTAAGTAAAAGTCGACAAAATATGTGTGTGTGTGTGTGTGTGTGTGTGTGTGTGTGTGTGTGTGTGTGTGTGTGTGTGTGTGTGTGTGTGTGTCTTTTTGATGTGAAGTGTTTGATGAATAGCCTCAGCTTCTTCACTTCTGTATAGCCTCCACTTCCAGCCCTCCTGTAAAGTTGCATGTTTTTGTGTCAGTGAAGTGTGACTGACACACACACACACACACACACACACACACACGCACGCACGCACGCACGCACGCACACACACACACACACACACACACACACACACACACACACACACACACACACAGTACCTTCATTTCTCATGAGTCAAAACTTGAAAAACTGTAACCCTAAACTCTATAACATATTCTCTTCTTAACGAAGCCATTCAAACATGTCTAAAACAGCACACACACACACACACACACACACACACACACACACACACACACACACACACACACACACACACACACACACACACACCCTCTCCCTCTCACTCTGTCATTGCCAGAGATGATGAGGCCTCTTCCTCTCCTCCACTTTTTCCTTTCCCTCTCCAGAAACACTCCGCTGAACCGTCAACAGTGTAGGATTTCAAAGTGCTGAGCGGCTCCTGCGTGAAGCTGATTGAGACAATTTGTCGACATGATGGACGTTTTTGAGGCCTCTGCTGCTGCTCTGCTGCTGACTGCAGGCTACACGGATGACAGAGGGATGTTTGGATGTTCCTCAGGTGGAGGTTCAACATCTGCACCAAACCTTAAAGGTGGGGTAGGTAATTTATTTCAGAAACACTTTTTGTTATATTCCATGGAATGCTCTTAACATCCCGATAGCAATGAATACAATAAATGCTTTGACAATAAATACATAAAAATATATCATCTGTGGAAGCCGTGGCGCTGTAAAAAGCACGACCAATCATCTGAGCCGGCCCGGCTAAAATGACTGGATGGCCTACCTGCCTGTCAGCCTTCCATCTGTGCACAAACTTATCTCGTGCCCTCATTGGTCATGTGCGCGTTCGTGTGTGTTGGAGGAGGGGCTCTGTAAGGAAGTGGCAGATTTTCTCCGGTTGTGTATTTTCAAATTCTAGCGCACTCGAGCAGATTTCTCCAAAATTAACCTACCCCACCTTTAAATTAAAAAGAAAGTGAATGGGATTCTGAATGAGGTTTGTATTTTCCAAGGGCAGTTATGAATGATGTGGCGAGTATTTTAGATAATAAGCAGAGCTGTGCAGCTCTATTTATTGACCTTTCCAAAGCGTTTGATACCGTCGATCATCGCATCTTAAAGCAGAGGCTACTCAGTATTGGCTTATCCAGCCATGCAGTGGGGTGGTTTGTGAACTACCTCTCTGAAAGGTCCCAATGTGTTCATTTTGATGGGCTGTCTTCTGAGTGGTTAAACATTACTAATGGTGTTCCTCAAGGTTCTGTTTTAGGTCCACTTTTATTCTCCATCTACATCAATAGTTTAGGTGAAAATGTGGATGAAGCAACCTTACATTTTTATGCGGACGATACCGTTATGTACTGTGCACGTCCCTCCATTAAGGAGGCTGTTGTTGAATTGCAAGCTGCTTTTAACATTATTCAGACTCAGCTCTCTGAACTAAAGCTTCTTTTAAATGTTGATAAAACCAAGGTAATGCTCTTTTCAAAAGCTAAAAAGACACCAGAGCCTGTTTTAGATATTTTAACTATGCAAGGAATAAAACTTGAAGTGGTTGCCTGTTACAAATACCTTGGTATCTGGCTTGATGATTGTCTCACTTTTAAACGTCATGTCAATAACCTGCTTAAAAAACTGAGGGTTAGGCTAGGTTTCTTTTCCAGGAACAAGTCCTGTTTCTCACTTGAGGCCAGAAAAAGGCTAGTCTCTGTGACCTTTTTACCTGTACTGGACTATGGTGATTTGATCTATATGAATGCACCTGCCAATTGCCTGGTCAAGTTAGATGCTGCGTATCACAGTGCACTGAGATTTGTGACAAACTGTAAAGTATTAACCCATCACTGTACCCTGTATGCAAGGGCTGGTCTGCCTTCACTAACTGTACGGAGGCTCAGTCACTGGTACATCTTTATATACAAAGCCATGTTAGGGAAACTTCCATCCTACATCTGCTCCCTGATCTCACGGCGAATTGTAAGTGGCTACTGCCTGAGATCGCATGCTGTGGTTTTATTAAATGTGCCAACTGCTAGGACTGTTTTAGGGAAAATAGCATTTAGATGCGCAGCTCCACTGTCCTGGAATAGTCTGCAATTAAAATGGAAACTGAGCAATCTGTTGCCACTAAATGTTTTTTAAGCTCGGTTGGATGCTACTGAATCGGAAGCTGTTGGTACCTGTGCGTGTGGATAGTTATGTAAATTGTAATCCCTGTAATGCTACTGTATGATGTCCTTTTGTTGCTCTGTTATGTTTTTAATGTTTCATGTGGAACCTACTTGAGCAGGTCTCCCTTGAAAAAGAGATCAATGATCTCAATGGGATATAACCTGGGTAAATAAAGGTTTGAAATGAAATGAAATGAAACGAATCAACTGCCAGAGTTTACAGTTTCTTTCAATTGCTAAAACACGTTTTTTGAAAGCAGTGGAAGCAAGTGAATATGTCAGATTTCTGTGTCTTACTTAGGCTCTGTTGTGATTGGTCAAACTGCTTAGAGATGTCCCGCCCCTTAGCCTATCACGTACAATATGTTGGAGCGACAGCCAATTGGAGCGCAAGTGTTACGTAGTGATGTCACTATGTTCCTAAATGAGGCAGCGTAATAAACCGCCAAAATGTTATTAAACGTTCTCTAATCTTCAATTAAGATTGGTAAAGAGCAACATCATTAATGTTATATTATTTTTATAAGTGTTTAACAAGAAGAATGCACTCTTATGTTAACCCTTTGTAATCAAAAAAATATTGATTAATAATTACACATTTTTCTCAATAACTGATTAGAATCACATTTACTTTGTCATTGAATAAAATAAATTCCCAACACTGTGTATGACGTAAGTGAACAACGCCTTACTATCAGTATTTCCCGGTGTACATGAATGCTGCATTGGATTAGGGAGTTGTTGAATTCCAAAAACCATCCACACACGAGGACATGATAACAAATAATCAGTGAAAATATGAGCAGATAATCTCATTTCCTCCAGCCTGAAAAACAGAAGCTGCTACAGCTGCTTCTTCTCCGTCAACAGCCGTTATCCTGCACCAGTGTGTGTGTGTGTGTGAGGGGTGCGTAGAGTGTTAGAGTCACTATGCAGGTGCTTTGCCCC